GCCAGCACCTCCCAACCAGAACCCAGCGTAGCTCACATCCTTCCTTCTCGGACACAAGGGGGCCGTGTCCCAGCCATGCTCTACCCAAGGAAGCTCGGAAGCCCTGCACCCTGCCGGCCTCCTGCCTGCTGGCCCTCCCTGCAGGAGCCACTGTCCAGCTGTGCCGCGTGGCTGTTGCTAGGGCAAGGGCAGATGGCTCTGACGCAACCAAATGCAATCAAGGCAGCAAATGTCTGGGGAGCGGAAGACATTCGAGGAGCGCACTCAACTTTCCCCCAAAGTGAGTCTCGTTTAGACTCGAGACTAAAGATCCTGGGTTCCAATAGCTATACTATATATGCAAACTTCCAACCAATGACACAAAAGCCACCTGTGGGGAAAATAAGCCAGAAGAAAACGTTCAGCCATCCTGACAGTTTTCCCTGACAGCCTGAGGCATCCACACCATGGGCCATGCGCGCAGGGGTCTGCACGCTCTCCCCCTCAACCCCAGCACATTCCCAAGGGGAGTCTTTTTCCCATTTTAGACATAAAGACAGGGAGGCAGAGGGGGAGGGGGCAGGACTTAAGTTCATGCCTCAAAGCACCTGCTCTGAACCTGCATGAGGGACGCTCACAGGCACTGTCCCCTTAGAAACATGTTCTGAGAATAGGGCTCCAGCAGGGTGTGGAAAGGCATCCCGCTCACCTGGGTAAGCCTTGAAATAGGTCTCTAGGAACCTCTGGTGGTTTCCGTAGATGGTCCTGGACAGGCCCGGCCAGGCCTGTGAGAGGCACAGAGCCCCGGAGACATTGTTGCCCTCCAAAACGTTCCCCTGCAGACCAGGGAGACATGCATTGGAAAATAAGGACAGATTATGCTTGAGAAGCAAAGAACTGACATCAGTATCATCCCCCTTCAGCCGTGGGCAAACTACGGCCCGCGGGCCGGATCCGCCCGTTTGAAATGAATAAAACTAAAAAAAAAAAAGACCGTACCCTTTTATGTAATGATGTTTACTTTGAATTTATATTAGTTCACATAAACACTCCATCCATGCTTTTGTTCCGGTCCTCCGGTCCAGTTTAAGAACCCATTGTGGCCCTCGAGTCAAAAAGTTTGCCCACCCCTGCCCTAGATGCTTGGCTTGAGGCAGAAAAATAGCAAGTGTGCCCCGAAGGAGCTGTCCCGAGCCTCTTGCTCTGCGAGGAGCCCTCCTGGAGAGGGCTTCCGCCCCACGTGGTGACTGCATCCACCGTGTCTACGAGAAGCCTGAGGTGCACGCTGCTGAGGACACAGGCTCCTCCCACCACCTGCCAGGCCCTGGGCATGTGCGACGTGGGCGAGTGGGCAACGGAGGCCAGGAAGGCAGGAAGAAACACCAGGAAGCTCAGTGGGGTGTGCGTGGAGGAGAGGAGGCCCTTACACACCTTGTCATCCATGAGAACCGGGATAATGCCAAAGAAGGGCCTCATTGCCATGGCAGGGAGGATTTCCGCCCCTTCTTCCGAGGGCCGTGGTGCGATGCAGATGCCGCCTGTCTCTATGGGGATGACAGGGAAGAAATGCCGATGGGCCGAGGGGCTAGTGCCACATTTATCCAGGCCAACCCACCAAGAATCTGGGACAGACTGGCTGGGACAGAGTGGGTGGAACTGCCGATTTGGAGCAAGGAAACAGCCCCTACTGTCACAAGGACTTTTCTCTGAGACAAAACTAGTCTTGGCTCCTGGTCCCCTCCACTGTGGGTGGGGAGTGGGCCCAGGCAGGGGGCTCCGGCCCAGGTGCTGTGGCTCCATAGCCCCGTGGGTGCTGCCTCTCCTCCTCCACGGCCCCACTGGTTGTTGGGGTCCAACCGCAGCAGGTCCAGGGATCCCCAAAGGTGTGGACGGAGTCGGTGAAGAAGGAATGACACGGAGGCAGCGTTCAGTTGATCAGCAGCCTAGCCAGGATCTCTAGCCAGGATCTCCAGCCAAGTTCTGTCTAGGATCTCCAGCCAGGTTCTGTTGCCATGTT